ATATAAATTAATAACTGCTATATGCATTTTATTTTACTGTATTTAGAAATGTTGTTGATTTATACATGCACATTTTCCTATTCTGTATTATCATTTAACGTATTGCGGAAAAACCCGATTATCAGAATGCAGGTTTCTTTCAATTCCTTAACAAATAGAAATGGTGATTTGGAGGTCGTCTACTTAAACTTACGTGAGGTCCAACTTACGGTTCAGGAAAACAGGAAATCCGAGATAACTGGTTAAAAATTGGGTTGGGTAACATGGTCCGCGGCAGGCAAAAGTAACCCTAACTTTAACCTTAAACGTAATCTCAACCCTAGCCCTTTTCCTGGTCTTATATTTGACCCAACTGCAACCTTAAGCACAACCTTAACTCACCCTTTAAATATCTTATTTAACTCAGTTGGAAGCGTTTTTCTGATGTAATATGCTTACCTAAATAAAATAAGCCGGCATGTTGTGCTTATAAAAACCGAAGACTTGTTTGTCAGATCGTCATTGTATATATTCAGCAGGCTTATTATGTACTGAGGGTGCTTTAATTCCCTCAGTGCATGGATGTTCTTTTTAATTCCTTATGGCATGAATATTTATACCTCGCAGACTCGTCAAAAACCTCTTACAGTAGTCGCCGGTTATTAAGCCCACGGTTAATAGGCCAAGCCGCTTATTAAGCCCAATTTGGTCTGGGTACGAGGTGGGCTTAATAACCGGCGACTACTGTTTTCCCTTATAAAAGTCGTGATAAGGCCTGAAGATTATCTGCTACATTTGTAGAGGACACTTTACTGACCTGACCATTTTATATTCATTGTTTAACCTGAGTTCAATTCATCTATAGGCCGTACTCCGGCTCAAGTTGAGAGTTTACACATTTTTGAGACGACTTTATACGTGTTTAACCTAGCGTATCTAGCTACTGTCCTCAAAGTGTCTATGTCTACGTAGTCGTATGTGAAAGAGAATCTCATCCTTAGCCCCCTTACCATAAGTCTAGAGGTCCCTAGTGAGCCAATTTGGTTTGAGCGTGTCGGGATTGCAAAGCTCATGACACTGACGCATTTGAGATTTCAATCAAAGATGCACAATCGGCATCGTTATTTTCAATATCTTCATCCATTGCTGAGTTAGCAGACTTTATGTAACCTATGCTGCCAATTCCGCAGTCATCTCTGGGTCCCATAGTTAGGCTTCAACATCAAACCATAAAGGATTACATGAGCCTATAAATTTACACAAGAGTAAACTATCCTCGTCACCGCTTACAGTGCCAGCTTCGCGGTGACTTTGTCGATATTCACGGTTGCGGTGGCTGTATTTGCCCACATCTGCGTGCAACGCTGGATTTATCTTTTCTCGCGACTGCTTGCGTGTACACACTAGTGTCTGGCCAATCACCTCCCTGAGGCTGACATGGCCTCACTAGAGGTGCTGTGATAACTTCCGCGCTTTCACGCCTCGGACGCCGCTCTCGCGGCTGAGGACGCACGTTCGTCCACCTGCCAACTTCCTCCAACCTATTCACCACTAGCTCTGTACAGAATATACTA